TCCACATCCACTCCTCCCTCCCACTGCCTTTTCCCTAATCCACATCCACTCCTCCCTCCCACTGCCTTTTCCCTAATCCACATCCACTCCACCCTCCCACTGCCTTTTCCCTAATCCACATCCACTCCACCCTCCCACTGCCTTTTCCCTGTTCAGAGACCAACAGTCGCGTCCCAGGCGCACTGCACTCCCCGGCTGAGTTCAACAATGGCCACAGAGAACTCGCCGACAGTCCCACTGCGAAGGTTTACTAGAGAGGTTGACAAGTCGCAGCAAGACAAGATGAGAAAACACTGAGGAAAGATCTTTTTGTCTGTAGTAGTGCTTCTTCTCAGCCATGGTGCCAGGCACATCTCTTTGTGGTCTTTCGTCTCTCGGTCCCTTGGTCTCTGCTCTGTTCAGGCAGCGTCATGAGGCTTGCTGGTTGTGCTGCCCAACGGCCCTCAGCTCTCCTTGTTCTGGGAGCTGGAAGCCCACTGTCTCACAGTCCCAGGCTTTTCCTCTGTTGGCTCTTTCAGACACGCCTCACTCCTGGCTCTTCTTTCTTGGTGGTCGTGGGATTCTCTCTTCCTGCTTCTGAAGTGACTCACTTGATACCCAGAGAATGGCAAAACTGACTGAGTCCCTCCTTAGAGTTAGCATTCTCTTGACCTTACTGGCGTGCTACCACCCAGCCACTTAGTGGGAGTTACAGATTATCCGTATCAAGTAATTTGCCTTCACTGTAGCTCTGTTCTAGCTGTGGCCTTGAATGCTACACTTTGTTTGTTTCTACTGTGTGGCCAGTGGTTTTTTTTTATTTTTTATTATCAGGCATCCTTAAGCACATACACTGTGACTTTAATAGTATCTTGTCACTGAGTGTCACTGGGCTGATTTCAACTCATGTGGACACGAGTGGCAGAACAGAGCTTCCTGCAGGGTTTTCTAGACTGCCATCTTCATGGAGCAAAGGGCCACGTTTCTCTCCTGGGGAGCCACTGGGAGAGTTTGAGCGACTGAACGGTAGTAGGCTAGGTTGTCTAGAAACAGAAACATGAACACTCATCTATGTAGAAGAAAGAGCTTTATATCAAGAATGAACTATACATTGAAAAAGCATCCTCATCCATCCCAAGTCCCTTCCACCTGCCAGATGCTAGCAGAGCCCTCTGCAGACTCATGTCGCTGCAGGCCAATGACTAGGAAAGGCGAACGGGGAAGGAGGGAGATCATAGGCCGGGAAGTGCGGAGTCCTGTGGACCCGAAGTTTGTAGCAACCTGGCAGGGCAGCTCATAGGGTGAGACAGCCTACACAGAGGCACCCTGAAGGCAGGCACAGAAGCCCAGCAGGCAGGGAGGGCAGAGAGGGCCCAAGCACATGGAGAAGTTCTCACGTCTCTCTTTCAGAAAAGGCCATATGCCCGAGGAGGCACCATCAGGCTGGGACCTGATTGATAGGTTGGACTCCATCCCTACGCTGTCATACAAATTCAAGTGGACATAAAATCTAACACTGACCTTCCAGGTGACAGCCCAGCAGTTAACCACTTACCAGGTCTCCCATTTAATAGTACAGTGGGGAGAGACAAAGTCTCTTCCTACTAAAACATTGCCTATATAACATAAGCACTCATGATTTTTTGCTTAAAAGTTATAGTTCTTAACAAAAGGGCTAAAAAGACTATTTGCAATGACTTCTGATACTACTATGACGTAACCTCTTTGTTGCATGTAAATGGCGGGTCCTCTAGGTCTTGGCTGAATTTACTTGTAAAAGCTGAGTTTCACACCCCAACAATGATGCTTTGTTCATTTCCAATTTAAAATTGTGTGAGTTCTCCTCTTCTTATGCCATAATCCCTTTAAATTATATAAAAAGATACATACACCCCTCACCCCAAGAACTATAAATGATCAAATGCTTATTTTTGAGTCACAATTTTAATTAGATGGCAAATACTATGTCTACACTGAGAAGTGAAATAACTTAGATGCCTAAAACCACACAGCAAAGAAAACACTTTTTAAAAAAAAAGGAAAGCTGTAAAAAATTTTTCCTAGATATGCCGATTCTTATGCTGTGGAGTTTAAACCATGTTGGTAAAATCAAAACCAAAAATCCCTGAAACTCACTGCCATCAAGTGGATTTAGACTCACAGTGGTCCTACAAGGCAAAGTAGAAACACACCTATCGGTCTCCAAGACTGTAACTCTATAAGGGAGTAGAAAGCCTCATTTTTTTCTCCTGTGGAGTGGCTATGGTTTTGAACTGCTGACCCTAGAGTTAGCAGCCCAAAGTATAACATGGTAGGCCACCAGGGCTTCTTAAACAATGCGGATTATTTTTATTTTGTTTTGTCTTTACCCTAGAACACTATTTCTCAACATGTGGCTCCGAAGCCCCATCTTGGAAGGACTGGATCAAAGGTTCTGGAGGCAGGGCCCGTGCTCAGCACACAGTGTTTACAAGCCCTTCAGGGGACCTGGAATTACCCGGCCCCTGGAGAACCTGAGCTCTCAAGAATGGCGCGACCACCATTAAAGCGAGTTGGGATTGTGCAACACAATTTTCCTTAGAACGATCTAGCTCTGAATATGACATGTGGTGATTGTTAGGTGCCACTGCGTCAGTTCCCACTTACAGTGACCTTACACACAGCGAAAGGGTACAGTGCCTGGTCCTGCACCATCCCCACAGCGGCTCCTACGTCTGAACCATGGTGGAATTCACTGTGTCATCCACCTCACGGAGAGTCGTCCCCTTGCCCCTCTCTGCCAACCATGATGTCTTTCTCAGGGATGGCTCCCTCCTAATGACACTTTCAAAGTAAGCTAGATAAAGTTTTATTTCTCAGAAGCACGATCAGGAAGCATTCTGGCTATACATCTTCCAACATACATTTGTCTGTCCTTCTTGCAGTCCACGGTGTTTTTAATATTCTTTACCAACGTCATCATTCAAAGCCATCATGACTTCTTTGGTCTTCCTTATTCAGGTCTAGCTTTTGCGTGCATATGAGGTAACTGAAGTATCATGGTTTGGGCCACATGCCCCTTAGTCTGCAAAGTGATGTCTTAACTTTTTTAAACTTTAAAGAGATCTTTTGCAGCAGATTAGCGCCATGCAGTGCTCTTTTGCTTCCTGACGATTGCTTCCGTGGGTGTTGATTATGCAGTCACGTAAAACAAAATCTTTGACAACTTCAATCTTTTCTGTTGACTGTGCTGACGCCTATTGGCTCAGTTCCTCTTGTCTCTTTCTGAAGGTCCGTGTGGATAGCTACTGTCCATGTTGTTCAAAAGAAGTATTTACGATGAATAAGTCTTTGGTCATGTGGTCTCTGCCCTGTTTCTATCTCCAAGGCCATGTTTTCCAACTTTTCACGATGAACGTGGTGTCATTTCACTTCAATGTATGACACATCCAGCATGCCTTTCTTATTCAAAGTGGCTTATACCACTCCATTTCAGCTCACTAAGGCCTGATATTAATTTGTATGTATTCCGTTTAATTTTGACAACTTCCAATTTTCCTAGAATCATACTCTGCCATTTTCTGAACATTATGGATGTCTGCAGCTGTCTCTTCCCATTTTCAGATGCGCTACACGAACCACTGACGGATTTCAAAAGACGTGCACCTTCCTCATCATGAAGGACAACTCTTGTTGGAGGAGGCCCCACTGTCCCGGTCTTATTTTGAATGCCGTCTAGCCTAAAGGACTCAACAGCTGCCATTCTATCGAATAATGTTCTGCTGCTAATTATTAAGTTTTTAGTGACTAATCACTTAGAATGGACTGTCCTCTTTCCTAATCTGTCTTAGTCTGGAAGCTCCATGATGCCTGTGCATCATGGGTGACCATGCAAGTGAACAGAATATAACAAACTGATAGATGAGAAATAATAATATAATTCATAAACAGTAATCAGTTAATTTCACAATTTTTATTGTACCTATTATTAATACATCTTTGAAAACTATGCCCCCCCACCCCCCAACCATCTTACCTGACGGAAGAATGGGGGAAAGGCATGATTCACAGATGTTCTCCTCTGCAAGGAAACGAACAGACTTTGGGTTACACAATGTTTCTGTTTGTCTCCTGACCCATCGAAGCAAGGTAAATAGTTTGAATAGGAGCATTTCAGTTTTACCCACCATCCACCAGAACACCCTTCATTTGAGTTCGATGCATTTTTTTCAACAATGACAATGAGTCAGCTACCAGAATCTTCTTGCAGCCTTCACGAAGTAGAATCTAGTACACACAGTGTAAAGAAAAGTCACGTTTAAACATTCCACAATGGAGGAAGGAAAGCACTCTTACTCGATTCAGCAAAGTGATGAACTTGGAATACTTCCCAGGAGCTCTTACTGGTACCCTCTTCCCTCCAAACCACTGCCAGTTGGATCTTTCAACACAACAGATTCAATCTGCTTTTCTTTCTTATGTACATTTAGTAGCTCCTGCAATGCTTGCAAAATAAAATAAAAATCCAACAATCTGGCAGGGAAGACCGTACTTTTACCAAATGGTATCTCACAAGGCTACCTCATACAGATTTCTTCTGGCAAAGTTTGGCTCCCACACACCTACCAAAACACCAAATTTACTGCTGTTGAGTGGATTCCAATTCAAGGACCCAGTACGGCAGAGGGGAACCACCCACACAGAAACAGACGGTCACGTCTCTCTCCCACAGAGCAGCTAGTGGGTCGGTCCTGCTGATCTTAGTGGCCAAGCTCTTGACCACTGCACATAAGTTCCTCCCTATATGCCTGGCTTATTAAAAATTCATCACAGGATGGAAGGCTTGCTTTTCCCAAATCAGATAGTCTACAAATTCATCTGCCTACTGTATAAATTGTATAAATACGTACTGGGTCCTTATCACGTCCCAGGCACTAGACCCAGAGCAATCAACTAAACCAATGAGACTTTTGTCCTAAATCCTTTTCAGGATGCCATCTCTCTTCTAGTTTATTTCTACATATAATAGATGAACACAGCATGTGATATGCTCATTGACTAAATTAACCCTCAAATTTGGTGACTCTTCGGCAGGATGGTAACTGAAATGACGACAGATATTAATATTCCATTGTAAGATTACTTTATTTTTCTTACCATTATTAACCTTTTTGTTTTGACAGGCTTGCTGTTTCTACATTTAATTTTTTTTCAATTAAAAGTTTTTTTCTGTGTGTCTAGATGACCATGAGAAAGGTCTCCACAGTCCTGCAGCTACAGAAGTCAGGACACTCACCGTGAAGTAACGATGGCCCTTTCTGACTGGTGTGATTTGTGTTTGGGACCAGGGCTGTGGAAGACTCAGGGAACTTCTCTCCCTGCTTCTAGCCAGTGGGCACAGCGTGGACAGCAAAATCTTTTACCTGTCAAACCAGTTCTGTTGGTCAAGGTAGGAGTGCTCCTCCTTCTCTCTGCTTGCTTATTTTAGTAGGAGATTAGGAGAGGCTAGCTGACATTCCCTTAAGCTGAATGCCATTTTATTTTATTTTTTGTTGTTGGTGGTGGTTTTTTAATTGCAATATGCTTTCTTCCAGAGTTAATAATGAACATATTTCCATGGTAGAAAAATTCATTCTATCTCAGTATCGAATAGATATTGTCCTCTGTGAAAAGTCTTTTAAAGCATTTTTTTCTGTGATTATATTAGAGCTTCTTGCTTCTTTTGAAGGGAGGGAGATATTGCAGGAATATCTCTTGGCCCCATATGTCTTAGTAGAGGCAACTGTGTATAATGACATATACTGACATAGAAGGTCACTATGACCCAGCTCTTTGGCTGGGGATGAAGGTTTTGAGAAGAATGCGCCTTAAGAGGCGGTAGTAATACCAAATGCTATAGTTCGTGGTGTATTTTGGCTTTCTTCAAACCACAGACTCACCTCCACGACATACATGGAGTTTTTTTCTTTGAAGAGTTTTAAATACATGCCACAGGGAAATAGAAGTGTTGGAACAGCCAACTGTCGTCTCTGTTCTCAATCATCAAGAAGCATCGTATTTCTCCCCAAGTCCCAAAGCTCACTGTCTTCAGGTGAATGGAGCCAGGGCCCACCCCTCCAATCCTAAGAGGGCAAAGCGTTCGAAAGAAAGATCTGATATCTAGTGTGAAGTTCTCTAGTTCACACACTTATGCATGTGCAAGACATTATGTGATTTTACTATTTCTAGTAAAATCTTGAAATCAGACTAATGCGGATTTTCTTTAAAATTCTGCTCTATTTTTAAAACTTTAAACCAAACATATCCCCTGGAATCTTCTTAAGGCCAAATAATAGTTTAGCTTAACTAGTAAAAGATGTGTGCTTTAATCACTGTCCTTTTTTAAGAACTATCTACATGAGAACAACTTGTCAACAGCAACTTGAAAGATTCGGTAAGAAACTTAGAGAAAGTGAGTTTCTGTTAATAGGGGCAGGACAATATGGAAAACACAGGTGATAATAATTGCATGATTTGAAGAATGCAATCAATATCATTGATTTGTACATGGAGAAATTGCTGGCTTGGTGCACGTTCTCTATATATTCTCAGGCACAACAAAAAAGAACAAGTAAATTACTACAAAAACTACTGAAAGTCAGATTTTTAAGACTAGTTTTAAGGAGATGCTAACAATTTAATAAGTATCATTAAAGGATAAGAGAAAAGAAACAATGACAAGTATGGTGAGAAAAACATTGAAGCAACACTGATGTCAGTAAACTTTTAGAAAAACTAGAAAAAAGTATGAAGTTTCTCAGTCTCCAAAACCAAAATAATAATTTTAAAACTCCCTAAGAATAATAGTGCCAATCAGTCTCTCTAGTAAATGCTCCAAAAAGCACCAGCTCCAAACCTGCGTGGGTGTCGAACCCCACTGCATGAAGAACACAAGAGGAGGGCCAGCTGTCTAGACAGAAGCCACTGTGTCTGCAAACGAAAAAAGAAAATAGCAAGGAAAAACCCATTTTTAAAGGTCAACTAAGAAAAAAAAAATCTTTTCAGCAGGAGTTCATTTCCTAAATAGGTACAATCCACCTGCCCACAGAAAGTGTTTTCTAGGGAAAAAATCCACTAGTCAGAGGCAAAGAGCCAGGAGAAGTGAAGGCGTACACGTAGTGTACTATGTGACTCTCTACTTCATTTCATCACAGGCCAAGGCTCAAATCAGAGCACGGCGAAAACTTCCGATGTACAAGATGCCCGGTAGGTATACAAAGAGAGGAGGCTAACCCTTGTAGAAAGTAATCCCTTCATCCGCGACATCTGTGATCATCCAAAGGGGGGAGTGGAAGAAGACAGCACAGATTCATAAAGGTGTTACCTTACATTATATAGTAACGATTGCAGCATCAGACTTATGACGTTATCTTGATGAAAGATCTCCAGTAACAACTATCTCAGTGACTCAGAAAGAGTGTGCTATTGTTAAATCTTATTTCATGCCCAATTGCTAAAAGTTCCTATCCACAACTTCCCATCATGCCTTCAAGAAGACGCTGATGGCTGAGAGTGCGATGACGTCCAAGTTCGCTAAGAATGTTGTCTTCACTCCGTTCTGAGCACGTCTGTCTCTCCAGGTCGTCCTACGAGGCCTTGCTCCCTCACTGGAGTCTCAGCTGCCACCAGCCTCTTCTCCAGCCTTGCAAATTAGCTGTTACATTCAATGACTACGATGACGATGACAACACAGAATACGATCTTCTATAACTTTATGCTCGCTTTCTTTTTAAAGTAGACCTATTTTAAACATGCAGACTACAATAAAAACTATGACAAACACTCAGGTCCCTACCACCTAGATTTACTATATTTAAAATTACTTTGCCAGGCACTTCAGATCTGTTAATTATAGAAGAAAAAGTACTACCAAGGCAGTCAAAGTTTCCTTGCCTTCCACATTTACTGAACACTAGTTACTTTTCTAGTATCTTTTCCCTCCTTCTTTGTCTTTAAGAACACAACTCCAGAGGCAGCGTGGAGTGCTTCGTCTCTGAACAGCTCTGAAAGCTGCGTTCTATGCGGCTGCTTCGGCCCAGGAGGTTGACAGCTTCTCGCATCTCTTTGGAGGCCTATGGGCCTTGCACTGGGCGACAGAGGTTTAGGCTCCGAGGGCTAAGGGACAGAAGGTTGGGAGAGGTCTTTTTGTTTTCTTTACTAAGCCCTTGTAAGTAGAGTTTTGGGTCGTGAGAGCGGCCACCAGCTAGATTACATGGTCTCCTGCCCGCCCCCCCTCGCCCCCCAAAAAGGACACAACTCCAAGCTGGCTTTGTGAGTCCAACTGAAATCACAACTGGTAGGGTCCAGGCTGCATCTGGTTGGCCAATGAGATAAACGCGCTGCAAGGCATCGCTTCAAAATACAAGAGCAAAGTGGCATTAGGAAAAACTCCTTTGCTTTGCACATATTCCAGCATGGAAGGAATTATGTGAAGTCTGTAGGAGTGGTTTCTTCCTTGGGACCCAGCGATAGCAAGCCTGTAGTACACTCTTCTATTGACGGACTATTTACACTACTTCCAGTTTGGGACAATAAAGGCTAAAGCTGTTAAAAACATGCTTCCATGAACCATTTTGTTGACTTGTTATTTACCTGAGAAAATACACAAGACTGAACCTGTTGGGTTAGGGAAAAGTTATATATTTAATTTCTAAAGTAACTGCCAGTTTTAAAGCAACCTTCAAAATAGTTACTTTTCTACTTGCACACATTAAGTTGTGATATGTCATAAATCTACTCTCTTTATTCTTCTTGGATAGCATTAGCTAACATTTTTCATGCAAATTTTAGGACCAGCTTGTTACTTTCTATGAAAAATTATTTTGAAACATTGATTAGAATTTTATTGAACATATAGACTATGATTATTTTACAGAGAACTGATAACACATGTAATTTTAATATTTAAATAATCAGATTCAATTTGCTAATGATTTATGAAGAATTCTTATATGTTCATTTATTTTTAAAAGCTAGGACTATGATTTCTATTTCTCATATTATCCTTATATGATACAGTTATACAGCATCTCATGAGAAATAAATGAATTTTTCCTTTCTAGTCTGAAAAGGTTTGAATAAAATAGAAGCTGCCTCTTTTTTCTTAAGATTGATAAACATGTCTCTAAAATTAACTGTGGGATAATGCTTTTGACTAATGATTTAATCACTTTAATGATTATAGGTTGATTATATATTTCTTAAGTGAACTTTGGAAATGTATCTTTTTTTTTCCAACTATTTATAGG